ACTGCGGGACGTTACCCTAAGTTGAATAAAATCATCTGGCGGTAGCCAGATTAAAATGAAAAGTGCGTGACACGCGGTGAAAGGTTAAAACGCAATTTTCCTTTTGTGTAATGGATGTTAAACTAGGACTCTTCAAGCTGGTGCTGCCATCTGTATTGTGTGGATTTTATCGAGATTTATCCTGTCCCCGTTTCCACTGTGGATCTACATGAAATATTTAAACACGTAAACTTGAATTTTGTGAATCGGAAAAAAGCAATAATGGTATATTAAGGGACTTATAAAACAAATAGATTATCTTTCCTTATAACTGGAAAAAAAGCCTCATATATGAATCCTGACTGTTAATATCATTGTGGACGTTGGCCCACATCCTATGTGAGCCAAGATTACCGAAATGGGCCGAGATTACTGGGCCGAAAACACCAGGGCCGACTTCACCTGTATCCCGTAGAGTTCCTTGCGCAAAATGTTTCGAACGACAAATGTTGTTTTTTTTGAACTAGGCACAGCACGTCTGCATGCTACACCTTACTCTCGGAGCGTTGCTGTTGTGTTATGGACTTGTGTAATACTTCATAGCAGTTACCACTGGTCACTGAACATACGATACTGAGTCCTATTGTCTTAAATTCATTATCTGTTTAAGGTTAAAGTTTTAAGTAATGCAAGAAAAATTATCATATGTTTCACTAAAATCTCATATGTATTTTATCTCTCAACAGCGTCAACTTGGTCGCCACAGAGGGACTCTGTTCGACTTCTTTCTGGCCTGTGGCTGCTGATATCAGTCATCTTGGTTCTAGTTCGTTGTAACCTGAAGGCGATGCTCATCATGCCCAAGGTTCAAGTCCCTTCAACAGCCTCGAGGAGTTGATGGAGACGGACATCCACGTGTTTTTACCTGAAGGGACGCTGATTCATTATCTTGTAACGGTATGTAAACCTTGATATCTACCAAATCTCGTAATCATTTCTACTGTTCTCTAGTTTTTGCTTCGGATGGATGAAGAGAATCTGAAAATTTGGTACGAAATTATTAACAGTGGTGTAGTTACAAATAACCGAGGTATACATAATAGGATCATTTATAAGGATATACTTAACAAGATATTTTGACACATTCTGATAATTTTGTTCAAATCAGACGTGGTGAGTAAAGACTTAACACTATAAACAGATTTTCCTTTATGGCTGCCATCCTTACGGATGTTCCTTTATGACTGCTATCTTTAGGTGTTCCTTTATGGCTGCTATCTTTACAGGTGTTCTTTATAGCTGCCATCTTTACAGGTGTTCCTTTATGCCTGCCATCTTTACAGGTGTTCCTTTATGGCTGCTATCTTTACGGTGTTTATAATAGCTGCCATCTTTACAGGTGTTCCTTTATAGCTGCCATCTTTACAGGTGTTCCTTTATGCCTGCCATCTTTACAGGTGTTCCTTTATGGCTGCTATCTTTACAGGTGTTCCTTTATAGCTGCCATCTTTACAGGTGTTCCTTTATAGCTGCCATCTTTACAGGTGTTCCTTTATAGCTGCTATCTTTACAGGTGTTCCTTTATAGCTGCCATCTTTACAGGTGTTCCTTTATAGCTGCCATCTTTACAGGTGTTCCTTTATAGCTGCCATCTTTACAGGTGTTCCTTTATAGCTGCCATCTTTACAGGTGTTCTTTTATGGCTGCTATCTTTACAGGTGTTCCTATAGCTGCCATCTTTACAGGTGTTCCTTTATGGCTGCTATCTTTACAGGTGTTCCTTTATAGCTGCCATCTTTACAGGTGTTCCTTTATGGCTGCTATCTACAGGTGTTCTTTTATAGCTGCCATCTTTACAGGTGTTCCTTTGGCTGCTATCTTTACAGGTGTTCCTTTATAGCTGCCATCTTCACTGAATGCAACACTCGGCAATTAATTAAGACTAGATGGAAACCTTGCACTAAAAACTGCACCTTGTTTAACTCCATTGTCGAGGGAGAAACAGTCTGACGGGTTACCGAGGAGAGAAAACAGTCTGACAGGTTGCCTAAAGAAACAGCCTGACAGGTTACCGAGGGAGAAACAGTATGACAGGTTACCGAGGAGAAACAGTCTGACAGCTTACAGAAACAGCCTGACAGGTTACCGAGGAGAAACAGTCTGTCAGGGTTACGAGGAGAAACAATTTGACAGGTTACCGAGGGAGAAACAGCCTGACAGGTTACCGGAGAAACAGTTTGACAGGCTACCGAGGAGAAAACACCCTGACAGATTACCGAAGGAAACAGCCTGACAGGTTACCGAGGGAGAAACAGTCTGTCAGGCTACCGAGGGAGAAACAGTTTGACAGGTTACCGAGGAGAAACAATCTGACAGGTTACCGAGGAAAAACAATCTGACAGGTTACCGAGGAAACAGTCTATCTGAACGTTAATCCAATATTTCACAGCCTTCTTGGACTAACATGATAGATAACTTGCCAACATCTACAGAACAACAACAGATTTTTACAGAGTTTGGCGTAAAGTAAAGAACACAGCTGACTTATGACATGTAAAACGGGACATTTAACGCTACTAAGTGACACATAGTAACCTTCTTATGATAAACTGAACGACAAGAGTCTTAGGTAATCTGAGAATGTCACACAACATATACTAAGGTGTTTATGAACTTAGTCACAAATTATGTGTGCTGAAAGACCATTATAAACTTATTTACTGATGTACTGACTAAAATTAAATATATTATATTATATCCTTCTAATGGTAAGACTGTCTTGAGTATCATATTTGTTAACAAAATCTCGTATCATCACAAATAGAATGATAGAAGAGAGTTAGATGTGATAAGTTAACAAGTCACCGCTGGAGAGAGACAGGTGAAGTTTGGCTGGACCAGAGACTAACAGTAGGTTGACAGTGTTTACTGATGGAGAGAGAGGCAGCAAATATACTTCACTAAAATACCGAGAACATAAGTAGAAAGGTGAGAGAGAGATACAAAAGCCGACAGAAATGAAATGGGAAGAAACAGTCCTGGAGGTAGACACTTAACGAGGATAGAAATTCCAAAATAAATTGAAGATAATAACACAATGTCCTCTGCGTACAGGTCGCTCCACCCGGCTCCCTGCTCCACCGAGTCAACGACCGGCTCACACTCCACACTAGCCCGCCTCTGGCAATGAAGGAAAGCAGTGCTGGAAAATATGTTATCGTCGCCACTGATTACGTAATGAGATCTCTTTTTCACGATATGTTCTCAATGGTAAGACTCTTTTTGGGGGCTAATGTGTCGTAGGTAGAAACTAAAGTATTACGCACAGTTAATTAACATAAAGCACTGTAGGTTAAGGGTAAGTTAAGAACACGAGGAAGTGTCTGTGTGTGAAGTTCCTACTTGTCACTTCCCTTATATCCTGTCACTTCTTACACCTTCCGTAAAATCTTATCCTCATTTTCTTTTCTCCCTTTTTTTTAGGTTTCTCTTTCCCTTAATTCACACCAATAGTGGGGTGGATTAATGCAAAAGTCGTTCAGATCCGGCAGAAAGTGTGAAACTTGGCATGAAGTTACCTCTTACTACATAGAATCATTTCATGCGTAGGGACACGCTGGGAATTCACTCTGGCGGCCATTTTTAGCAAATTCAAATTGACCGTCTCAATTCCACAGCCCAAATCATAAAATGCCATATCTCAGGCACGTTTCTTATAAATTTGAGGATGCCTGATCAATCTAACTATGTTTCGGAATGTTTCGATGTAAAGTTCACATGGTAAGTTTAGGTCAAGGTCATATTTTAACCTAAAACACCTGCATCTTTCTATCTCTACAACCGCTGGCTCAAATTTGATGACCTTGGGCTCGTTTCTTATAGTTTTGAGATTATCTGATCGACATAACTATGTTTCGGAATGATTCAAGGTCACCGTCACATGAATATTCAAGGTCAATGTCATACATGGCTCTAAAACGCCTATGTATTATGGATGTCACGGTTGTCAAAGTTCATAGTTACGGGGTTGCGGTTGTCAAGAAGTTACAATCGAGCGGCTGTAGTTGCTGTTTAAAGTTGAATTATCACTGAAACCTGTGTGAACTTATTGAGAATAAAAGTAATATAGACAAATAAAAAAATTAATGTGTTTTAGCCAATGAGAACATTAGGTAAGATCATTTTTTTACAATAAGCACCTTGGCAGTGACATAAGGAGGGGCAGTGTAAGTGGGCTTTGTTGTATATGCACTTGCCAGTGAATGATTTCTTGTACCCACAGTGTAGTAGGATCGAGCAAGCTTTACTCACATCTGCAAGTGTAGTCCAGAATAGCACCAAATCCTTATCTGAGATCATCCATCCCAATCGGTAGGCTCAGGGATGTTTTGATGAAGTTGCAGCACCTGACCCCAAATGAAAGCTGCCTCAAGAATGGCTCGTCTCACATGCTGAAATAGGTCTATCTGGGTAGGTGGGATATTGTCGAGGGTTCTACTCCTTCGTGAGAACATCTCCATCCGGGCTTGATTCACTGGAGCAGATTCACAATACTTACTGTAAAGTAGGACAATGAAACGTTCGGTGACTTAAATAAGTACAGATTTCATGGTGAAGTAGTCGGGATCACGCAATATTGCGAGCAAGCTAGCCGTGAATTCTGGAAAGAGCTTCCACACTTCCCAAGCTGTCTTCTTGCCACCTCCTACAAATTGCGATGTAGTCTCTCAGCCTGTCAGTGCATGGAAAAAGGGAAGCACAATTCCTAACTCAAGGCCGAGCTATGATGCTAGCATGTGAATGGGGTTATATTGGAAGTGTTTTCCAATCCCAAAAGCCACCCATAGCTTAGACAATGACAGTTCAGGGAACAATGAGATTGCGACAACCACGACATCAGTGTCCACTTTGCGGAGGTATGCTTTGTCACGGTCGTGCTGACCTGCATGTTTGAGGTGGAGGATCTTCCCCGTGTCAGTTTCTTGATGGTTACACGGTCCCAGACCCTCCGTGCCACAGGGTGGTTGAGTAAGAACTTTTTCTTGTGTTGTGATAAGTTGCACACCCAGGTCTTCCTCAGCTAACCGCTTACTGGTGAGTGTGAAGAGTTCTGTTTTATTCTCTACACTCTTTTTGGTTGATAGGATTGTTGGAGTAATTGTTTTTCTTGGACCATCCCCTTGATTCGCATGAGCTTGGTCTTTCAGTCTTCTCTCAGGTTAGATATGCCGTATCCAGTCCATACGATCAACACAACCAGAGGCTTGAGATCTTGCAAATGTCACCAAGTGCTTCTCCGTATATCCACTGATCGTGCTCATGGGTTGGGTGGGTTGGATAAAATGGACAACTGTTGCATCTCCAGCTGGTTTTTCGTTCACCTTTTCCAAACATTTCAGGGGATCGGACTTCATACCAATTTGCAAACGACCAGCAACAGCTAATGGCGTGGGTGCTTTTATTTTCATACATGAAAAACTCATCAACATATGCATCTGGTTGTGATGGCAGAATTAAGAACTGAGTGACCAAGGCTGAGTTGTGTTTGAGTGCTTGAACTTTTGCATCTTTGTTTGTCAGGTACGTTTTTGAACGTGTACAGTCCATTACGATGGATAGTTTCAGTGATGGCCTTTGAGGCATAATTGAAGCGTGTCTTGACGAAATCATAGTACATGGCAGATCCGATCACATGAATATATCTTAACGAGTTGGTCACACATTCACCCATGACCAATTTAGTGCCAAGGGTAGTAATGAAAGTACTTGTGTCACATTTTATTACACCACTCATTAATTCATATATTGAGCCTGTCTGCAAAAGCCGGTGTGGTGTTTTAGGGTAAATATTGACCTTGACCTTAACTTATCATGTAAACTTGACCTCGAAACAGTTAGATTGATCAGGTATCCTCAAAACAATATGAAACTAACCTGAGATATGGTATTTTATGATTTGGGCTGTGGGATCGAGGCGGCCATTTTAAATTTGCTCAGAATGGCCGCCAGAGTGAAGTCCCAGCGTGTCCTCACCCTGGAAATATTTCCACGTGGCAAAAGATAACTTCATGCCAAATTTCACACTCTCTGTCAGATCTCAACGATTTGCGTGTAGTATTGCATTAATCCACCACACTACAACCAAAAGAGAAAAAAGGGAAAAATAGCAGAGATTGCACTTAATGCGTGAGAGTTACCACCCTAAGAACAACACAAGATAACTGTTGTAACTGCACATAACACTTAAGAAGATCAAATTATATATTTTGTATCTGCTGTTAACATTCCAAATTCTCGATGATCACTTTATAGTTTATTTTGATATTGTTACAATAATATGTGAAGATTTGTATTTGCGTCTTACATGTTGATATATGTTACAGGCAAATTCCTGTCCCATGTATATTGCGTCTGAGCCTATCTACACTGGAATATCTTCTGGCTTCGCATTTCCCAAGGGCTCGCCTCTCAAACACGTGCTGGACCCAATGTAAGTCTAAGTTTATCATGTGATAAAAGGTATTAAAGAACTTAATAAGAATGATGGGCAAGTGATTGGTTTCTAAGCTTTATATCTATTAAACCACGTGTTTTCTACCTCCCTGCCAGGCACTTAAGACGAGTACAAACGAGATAAAAATAATATATATGTTTCTTTTATTTACAGTCTCAGAAGACTTCTGGAATTTGGCATCATCGAACATTTGTATCTTTCTGCAGTACGTAATGGAACCGTTTGTTTTACACCTGAGTCCTTCACCAGACCCAAAAACAGCCTCCGGCCACTGGAACTGGAGGACTTTTATGGCGTCTTCGCTGTTTATGCCGGAGGTAAGGAACCCCGAGACTTACCGCTAAGGTCATTCACGTTAAGTTTCTAAAAACGGCAACTAAGGATTCGTAAATGTTGTTTAATATATGTTGGAGGAGATGAGGAGTTTTGATCACAACAGAGGACGAAGGTATTTTGTAGGTTAGGCAAAACAACATAGTAAATTAAATGCTGAATGCTCTTCTGTTGAGTACATAGTAGAAGAGCTAAGACTTGGATTATTCATAATCACCTCGGTTATAGAACATGAGAAAGTAGTGAGTTATCCTGTGATGTCTCAAGAGTAGATAGCTTTGATAAGAGTATTTTCTTGTTTACAATACTGGCATTTGTCTATGGAATGATGTACTACTTCCACTTAAATAATGTTAAACTAAATGTAGAATGTGTTAAAACCATGACCAAGATATGACAAAGAGGAAATATATCATTATTGGTGTTAACAATATTTTAGACTATCCTTGATCCAGTGATCCATAAAGTTCCACTATTAAAATGATCGCGTATATGTAATAATGGTTTGTGTTATGCTGTAAACACGTATGTTATCCACAGATGTTACTCTTATTTGTATTTTTTCTCTTTTTTGCAGAACAGAAGTAGTGTCTGTATTATTTTTGTCTTATATTTCTGTCTGAAGCCATAAATATGTTGAATGATTTTATATTCTTAATATCATCGCAGGTCTTTCTAAGCATAAATTTTATATTTATTTTTTAAACAAATATTATTAAAAGTATCTTGCTCGAGTATACGATGTACACTGTAAAAAATTCCCGCGAATATTACAGTGGTTCACTATAAAAAAATCTACAGTTGGCCACTGTATTTTGTTTGACGGTGATTTTCTATTAGTTCCTCTTTTTACAGTTACATGGTCGTCGTCTGCTATGACATTTACGGACGCCGTAATTTAGGCACTGTAAATTTTACGGTGGAGCACTGGCAACTGGGCTACCGGTATTCCACCGTAAAATTTACGGTACATTTATTATAGTACACTATAACTAAGGTTTTCGTCAACATAGAATGTAAACTGTCCTACAGTATGTTATGATAGAATCTGCCTGTCGATGAACCCTGTAAATAACCTCATGTAAAGATTAAATTAATGATGATAAATAAACTTTCAACTGAAGTTACACGTAGACAGAAGAGGAGCAGCCGTTAGGATATCATTAAGATGTGACGCTGGACAATATTTCATAACTAAGAAGTGATCATTTCCACCAGGAATGTTGTTGGCGTCTGTGGTGCTGCTGGTGGAAGTGGCTCTCAAGGGTCACCAGGCACTCAAAGGTCGGCCTGAACTACAACACTGACTTGGGGTCGGTCAGTGGCGTTACTGCTGGAAACATCAAAGGGCATGTGCGATCATCACATTAAGTGAAGAAATAAAATCCTTTTTTGTTACTGGAAAAGTTATGAAGTATATTAGTAAATTATCTTAGATAGATTTATTTGTGTTTAACATTTATGAGCAAAATAAAACGCTTTGAAGGCTTTAAGTATTTTTTTTCTGTCAAATCACAAAACATTTTAGGTGGCGGTGTTAAGCTCCTTCAGCACCTCAAAGTAATACTGCTTTCGAACTTATTTTATTGTTCTTGTATAATATTTACACATTAAACAGATTGGCTTCTTACCCCTTTCTTTCTCATAATGTAAATAGTTACTCATGCAATTAAATGTTTCAGTTAATGTTAATTTATGAATAAGATGAAAATTCCTTTTACACTAAAAATTCTAACTGGCATTGGATTTCTGAACATGCCATTGATTTTAAATAAAACTCGGATTCTCAATGAGAAATGATTTTTGATACATCAGATATCCCAGATATCCGAGTAGCAATGGAATTCTGAGTAACATAGGGGTAGCACAAATGTCAGCTAGCTAGTTAAAAAAAAAGTTCTGAAAAATTGTAAATACAATTTCTAATATAACGAAAATTCTAAGTCAGGCGATTACATGTGATCTACCGATCTTATACTTATATCACGAAAACACTACGAAAACTACAGCAAAAAGCAAGTTATTATTACACACCTCCACCGATACCTTCACATGGCAGCGCTCTCCACACCTTAGATACAACAATCAGGTTCACTCCCAAAAACAATCTTAGGTTAACGTGACAGAAGTTGTGCAAAACAACCTGTTGTATAGCCTCATAATAAGCCGACTTTGTTATACTTAAACAAGCATAGGTTACCCTCGCCTCTCCTTGAAATCACGTGAGGACCAGGAGTGCCTAATACTCTGCCCTTTCCTCCACAAATTCCGACAGCTGTACAAATCTAGCATCTATTTCTTGACTATCCTGCCTTACACCTGTTTGTGTCTCTGCTTCAACCTGTTTCAATTCTATTCTCTTATATGCCTGAATTTACTGTTCCTTGTCCCTATTTCTAAATTCTCATGTTCAAGCTTCACTGTTTTAGTTTAAAATTTTTACTTTAACCTTTCGAACATTAAATCTTGCTGCCTCCATTGTCTCTTCCATATTCTTCAATACTCCTAAAGAAACTAATTTTCTCTCTCTCTCTCTCTCTCTCTCTCTCTCTCTCTCTCTCTCTCTCTCTCTCTCTCTCTCTGCCTTTGACGTGTAAACCCTGAACTCTGAAATATGAATTCGAAGCATTAACTAGTGACAGGGAGGGAGAGGGGAGAGGTCGGGTAGGTGTTTTTCTGTGGAGGAGAGACGGGGTGCTAGGGTTGAGGAAGGAAAGTTCACAGGATATCAATTGGGAGATTTTAAATAAAAATAAGCTTTGACAATACCGACGGGGTCTCCTTAGCTAAGTGTAATCGTCTAGTGATAGCTAGGTAAAAATATTAAATTTTCAATCGGATGAGAAGGGGTGAAATTATGTTGTAAGTAAGGTCTTTCTTTGCAAAAGGGCACATTTATTTACAAATGGGTTATGGATATGTTTGAATCTATATCTTGTAGAAGCAGCGAAGTTTTGTCTTACTCCCTGGCTTTTAGATGGAACTTCCATGGCTGAATAAAATCGTCTGGCGGTAGCCAAAATAAAATAGATAAGAAGACTCGTAGTGAAGGGATTAATTATCAATTAAAACAACCAGGACTTCCTGGTTGATGTGAAGTGAACAAAAATAGTTGAGTTGGCAGCTGCTCAGTTTGAAATCAACAAACCACATAGCATAGCTGCTGCTGCTGCTGTTATTATTATTATTATTATTATTATTATTATTATTATTATTATTATTATTATTATTATTATTATTATTATTATTATTATTATTATTATTATCAAATGTGCAATTTATGATGCAAAACGATAACACCACGTACTCGCCACCCAGCTCATACTCTGGGTTGCTGGTAGTGGAATCATTTCAGACAATTTATAGAGTAAAATAATATTGTGTCCTCTCATTACCATGAGGCAGTTATGATGAGAATACAAATACAAGTGATACTCAGTATTTCTAGAAACGGCCATGAACTTAATAAAATCTTATTTGTTTGATAATATAATCCATTATCTGGTAACGGTATCGCGTGTGCAGACTCATATCAACTTGAATCAACCATAGAATATTGAGAGAAGTAGTATAAGGTACAATTAAAACATTCAGAATTTAAGTGAAATTACGTTTATTACAAATAACACTTAATAATGTGAACTAGTAGCTAAGACCAATAACACCCAAACCCTGGTCACGAACCGTTCCACCAGCAAGTCCGTCAGGTATCAGGTATACAGCATAGAAAGTGTATTATTTACCACCTTTAAGCAATATATATATATATATATATATATATATATATATATATATATATATATATATATATATATATATATATATATATATATATATATATATATATATATATATATATATATATATATATATTGTATTTAATGTGTGGGTGTGTGATGCAAATGAAAAAAATGGAAAAATTACATTTAAAATTAATTAATCTCCTCGTGGATCACGAAATGAAATTAATCAGGTCACTAAATTAAATCATGAGACGCAGACCTTCAATGACGGGAGGGCGGGGAGGAGTCACTGTGTGAGGGACGCTTCTCCTGCCACTCTGACTGCCGTCGCCACCATGAACACTGCCGTGACTGCTGCCGTGGCCATCGTCGCCATAGGCATGACCGACGCCGCTACGGGCATGACCGACGCCGATACGGGCATGACCGACGCCGCTACAGGAATGACTGCCGCCGCTACAGGAATGACAGCAGCCGCTACAGGAATGACTGCCGCCGCTACAGGAATGACTGCCGCCGCTACAGGAATGACCGCTAGAGCAGCCAACTCGTCTCTTTGTCTCAAAGTTTGCGCCATGATAGTAAGTGTTTCACACGTTGTTGTTGTTTTGTAGAGTGTTGATGTAAAGTGACCACCGCCTGGCTACTGTAGTGTAATAAAGTGTTGTTAAGTGACCACCGCCTGGTTACTGTAGTGCAATAAAGTGTTGTTAAGTGACCACCGCCTGGCTACTGTAGTGTAATTAAGTGTTGTTAAGTGACCACCGCCTGGCTACTGTAGTGCAATAAAGTGTTGTTAAGTGACCACCGCCTGGCTACTGTAGTGTAATAAAGTGTTGTTAAGTGACCACCGCCTGGTTACTGTAGTGCAATAAAGTGTTGTTAAGTGACCACCGCCTGGCTACTGTAGTGTAATTAAGTGTTGTTAAGTGACCACCGCCTGGCTACTGTAGTGTAATAAAGTGTTGTTAAGTGACCACCGCCTGGCTACTGTAGTGTAATAAAGTGTTGTTAAGTGACCACCGCCTGGCTACTGTAGTGTAATAAAGTGTTGTTAAGTGACCACCGCCTGGCTACTGTAGTGTAATAAAGTGTTGTTAAGTGACCACCGCCCGATATTAGACAAGTGGGAGGTATGGAAGTTAAACGGCTGTAGAGAACAGGTTGACTGTAACCTTCGTGTCTTCTGTGACACCAGCCCGAGAGCCTATGGTGCTGTCGAGTACTTAGTTGATAAAATGAGAGCCCCAATGATCGTCACTTCTATATTGGCACCTATTCAGTCAAAGTCTTGACCCTAATTAATTATTATTGGCAATTGTTATTGGTAGCAGGCTAGCTAGTTATCTGAAAACTACCCTAAGTCATGTCACGGTTATTGGGATCCGTATCGAGACAGATAGAGAAGGCGCCTTACAATGGGTCGCTAATAACAAATCTAATAAAATCTTTGTACGAAATCGGATGGCTGAAATCCTCAAGGAGTTGCCAGATGTAAGATTGCACTACGCAAGTACCCAAAAAATCCAGCAGACGGTTTGACTAGACGAAAGTGAAATTGTGTGGGATTGACTCCAGTGGTCGGCCCTCCAACCTTGTAATTCTAGGAGGTTAACTTTACGTCTTCAAAAACAAACTGGGCGATGCCGGACACCCCAGTTAGTTACATAATAAAGTCACACTTTACGCTGCTACTACTACTACTACAACACCAGCTCAGTTCGAGTGTGTCAGCTTACGTTCATAGCTCATCGCGCGTGTGTCAGCTCATGATTACAGCTCTTCACGTGTACGTCAGCTCATGAACACAGCTCATCGCGTGTGTGTTAACAACAATGTCTCCCAGTCATTCGATTGTCCTCTGAATAAAAGTATCTAAAGTCTCTTGCCCTTGAAAAATCATGGAAAGACAAAATAAACTATTCTCGGGCGTTACTGTTGGATCATCACCAAAAGGTCCAACCACATTGCCTCCCGTACTTGTGGGCAGTGTGTCATCGAGAGCTAGCAAGTACTCTCTGAGCAAAACAAAGCCTTTGACATTAAACACGAAAAATAGTTTAAAAATGAACCCTATGTAGACGAGACTGCTCTTACCACAGATAATGAAGAGGCGTTACAAAATTTTTTTAATAGATGAGTGGAAAAACGTGAAAAAACATGGTTAAAGAGTTAATGTTGTAAAGGAAAAAATAATGGTTGTTTCCAAATTGGAAATATGAAACTTAAACAGGTGGAAAATTTTGTGTATCTAGGAAGTAACATTACCGCATTTGTTATGGAAGAAATAAAAACAAAAATAGGGCAAGCGATAACAACATTTAATAATTTAAAAGACCTAATGAAAAGGGACATTAGCTTCAAATCGAGAAAAAGAGGCTGCTGAAAGGCTAGGATTGACGTATGGGTCAGAAGAGCGGATACTTTCAGCAGACACCAGAAAGATGTTGGAGACCTTTGATATGTGGTAGTATAGGTCAGCCATTACCCCAAGACAAGTCTGATAACACTACTCATTACCCCCGCTTTGGGAGGTATCTACCGTGTCCAGGACGTGTCTGACACATGAATGACCAGTGGCAGTGTATGGAATCAAGAAACAGGAAAAATATGGTTATATCTCATGGGCTGTCGTGACCCCTGAAAACGTCAAATTACCCCCTTAGGAGTAGTTTAGCCTTAATTGGGAACCGCTGTTATAGGAGGATGCAAAGAATAAGCTACACTGACAGGAAAGCAAATGAAAAAATTCTAAGATTAGCAAACAATCAAGAGAAGTACTTGAAATGTACAGAAAAATAAAAATGAGAACTTTGGTCATATAATAAGGGATGATGGGATAATGACAAAAATTAATGAGCAAAGTTGAGGGTACGAGGGCCAGAGGGAGGCAGAGACTGAGGTGAACGAATGAAATTAAAAACTGGGTTCCCAGAGAGATACAAAACCTTGGAGGATTGGTGAAAACAGCCCGAGAACGTCTAGAGTGGAGGACTGTGGTCGCCAACCCTGAGTTATGAGGACGGTACTCTGATTGATTGAAGTCTCATGTTAAGACAGATATATTACCAACGTCTCGTGTTTTAGAGATGAATATTTTTTTTTATTTTTCATTTTTAAATTAAAAGCAAAAGCATTTGTGTTCAACATATATTAGGCTATGATGATATAATTATGGCAGTAAAGTGAGCCACATTATACCTCTATGAAACTCTCATGAGACATTAAGAAGTCATATTTGACTTTAATCATGCAAAGAATGTCTTGGTTTAGGTATTAACGCGTTCATCTTGTTATCCTCAACAGTACTTGGGGCACATGTTTATTGACTACACCACGACCCCCTACACGGTCGACGGGCCCATGATAGAGGTGCTGGATATAATAACAACCAAACTCAACACGTGGTAAGAGTTTGTTCTGTTTACTGCACTTAACTCACCACACGCTGATTCTATGTTTATACAGTAAAGTTCATTATTGTTGTAATGCCAAGTATGATATATTAGATTTTGTATTTCATTATTGGAACTTAGTAGTCCATTTGTATTTATGGTTACCTAGAAATTGTTAGACGTATAAAAAAAAATCTTCAGAATAATGATGCTTTGGGGTTCGTAAACTCGGATCCGCGAGATGACAATTTCTCATCCATGGGCAAATCATTGCAACGATCTGCTTAATTCGAGGGTTACCGCAATGAGTTCCGCCAACACAGACAATAATACGCGCAGGATAATCCAACCGATTGACAGTTGCATATTATGGCTACTGCATGCTTTCCCCTCAGCTTCGCATTGGCAGCTGATAACATTAATGAGTTCGGTTGGAGAAATAGGTCCGGGTGCTGTACACGGTGACAGAACGTTGTCCACAATCTCCCAATCATAATTGGTGATATCAACAGTTGGTGGGTTCTGCTTATTCGCCGCCTTCCACGGCATCACCTGGAGATGAGTGCGCAGCGCATTTTTTTTTTTTTTTTTACGGGGATTAGCCCACCCAGGCACAGGTCACTGACCCACATCGGGGCCTAGGGGGCGAAAATGTAATAATAATACTAATACTAATACTAATACTAATACTGATATTAATAATACTAATAATACTAATAATACTAATAATACTACTAATACTACTACTAATACTACTAATACTACCACTACTACTACTACTAATAATAATAATAATAATAATAATAATAATAATAATAATAATAATAAAGAAATACAAATTGAAAAAAAAAATAGTGAGAAACAATATACAGTATATATGTTGTGTTGTCAATAGTAAGAGAAACAATTGAGACCCTGCAATTGTGTGTAAATGAGGCAGAAAGTCAGATCAGCAACCTGGGACTTGGTCACAATTTTCGTAATGCCATATGACAGCAGGGTCTACCATAGACAACACATTATGCTTCCAATATCTTCCCAGGCGGTAGTACCTCCCTGTATGATAGCTGCCTAATACCTACTACCTACAGATACGACACGTTGTCAATAAATGTTCTGAATTTGAATTTGAATTTGATACGACACGTTGGTGTCTGTTGGAGGAAGTGACTTTATCGATGGACGTTTACCCTTTGATTTCCTCGAATCAATCTCATACCTGGCTGTATTCATGCATGTGCTATCAGCTACACCATGCAGTGCAGCGAAGAATTCCTGCTCCTTTTTCATTATTTCCTTAGGAGTGGCACCCTCCTCTCCAAGAGCAGTATACAGGCCAGGGATGTCTCCTGACACCAGGGTCTTCAGGGCACTAACCTTTCCACAGCTGAATGAATAGGACACGTTATCACATCCAGATAGTGCAAGTATGCCCAAAATCTGAAGGCACTTTGGTCCAGGTCTGCTTGCACTGATATCCAGATCGTGTCAGTCTCACCGCTCCAACTGCACATTGGTCTGCAACTGGATCTTCCAACACCAGTATACGAGCAGCATAAAGATATCGATGTCGTCATTCAGCATTTGGATGGTCTTTTTCGCGCTATCAACTGCTTGCAGCAAATAGCTGACCATAGTTACATATGCTTCGTCGTGAGTGAAGACGGGCTTTTCTCTTCCCACCATCGTGACATTTTGCCCATGGCTGAATGTACACAGTACATGAGCTAAGGCTTTCGTGTTCACCTTGTTTTGCATGATGCTGTCACGATTCGGTAGCGGGCTTGATATGGTGACATTGTACTCGATAGAGTCTTCGCCGGAACCACGCATCTGCTCATGGTCTTTCGCAGACTGATCGTCATACCGGTCGAAGACAAATTGAACCTCAGAAGGGTAAAAGCTGAAGCGGGTCTTCATGCTTGGGGCAAGGCCAGGGGCAAATCCCTCACACGGCCAGCTTACATAATACAGCAGTGCTGTGCATCGACGATCAACACATCAGGATCCACAAGCTGATGTCCCACCAACCTATCGACCAGCACCGCCTTGTTTCCTTTCCGCAGACAACCATACTCGTCAATGAGGGACGGTGGGACTGTGCATAGTTCGTGCTGGAGTACGTGGGAGGTGGGGAGAGATGAAGTTGACGCTGCTGCCCAACAACCAGGAGACGTAAACAGATGGCACCCATGTTTTACACGGACTTGTCGCTTGATGGATTCCATCTGTCATTGAGGAACGAAAAGCTTCAGCCACTTCTTCGCTAATATGCACAGCGTCGTGGACATTAACGTCAGTACTCGCAACCTTACCATTTACAATGTTGCTAAGGTTGGAACTAACATTTTTTGTGATGATGGGAGTGCTTTGCCAACTCATCTTGTATCCGCCTTCTGTCTTCTCTGGTAAGCTTCTTCCTCCCTTGACTCTCCTATTTGTTCTTCCCCTCCGTCTTTGCACTGTCTTCAGTTGAGGACATTGAGTCCATGGGCAGGGTGAGCATAGAGGTAGTTGGTCTCAACCCAGATAGCCACCTAATCAGCCGACAGCGATAAGACTTTGGGCCCTCCAGGTAGCTTCCCCCTTTTAATGTCATTCTGCTCACCGAACTGGTCGGTGGAAACTGAGTTCCATGACCCCTTATTGTGACGGCAAATGTTATCACTAGGAAGAAGGTCAACCTTGGCATCTTCGGGCAGACGATGGTCCACCTTCAGCACGTGCCAGGTGATGTATTTTGTATATTGCCAGTGTGCCCGCAGCGAAGTAGCCGAGCTTCTGCTGACACCATCCGAAACACACATATTGATCGAACCCATGACTCGCTGCTCATGATCGATGTCAAACTCCAGTGTGACGGGCCGACAAAGACATTTATTTTTTAATGGGGATTAGACCACCCTGGCACAGGTCACTGACCCACATTGGGGACTGGAGGCACACAAATAAAAATAATAATAATAATACAAATAATAATAATAATAATAATAATAATAATAATAATAATAATAATAATAATAATAATAATAATAATAATAATAATAATAATAATAACAATAATAATAATAATAATAATAATAATAATAATATAATAATAATAATAATAATAATAATAATAATAATAATAATAATAATAATAATAATAATAATAATAATAATAATAATAATAATAATAATAATAATATTAATAATAATAATAATAATAATAATAATAATAATAATAATAATAATAATAATAATAATAATAATAATAATAATACAAGTAATAATAATAATAAAGAACCATAGAGACATACAACAATGAAAAAAAAAGATCAATAGTAAGAAACGATATACTCGTATGTAAGTTGTGTTGTCAGTAAGTAAGTAAAACCAATTGAGACCCTACAATTGTGTGTAAATGAGGCAGAAAGTCAGACCAGCAACCTGAGACTTGGTCACAATTTTCGTGATGCCATATGGCAGCAGGGTCTACCATTAGACAATGCATTATGCTTCCAATATCTTTCCAGGCGGTAGTACCTCCCTGTTTGATAGCTGCCTACTACCTACTAGACGTTGTCCATGAAGAGCAACATAAAGATTTGATGACTGGGCTCTATTACGTAATTAATGTAACAAAGTTTTCATTAATTTTATGTTTATACAAAAGTCTTTTCTTACAATTTGTGAGGACAGTGTCTGGATGTGAGGTGGGTCATCAATCAGAGGGCCAAACATAAAGACTGGGTGATATTGGACAAATTTGGAGATCCTATATTTCTTTCCAGCATAACATAATAACTTGACAACTCGATAGGACCATCTTCACGAAGGACGGAGTTGAGCCACCGAGCATCAATGGTTCTAATATACTCCAATCAAAAGTTATATTCGATTCCCTATATTGGCCGGACGTCAGGGCAGCCATATTGGATTTAGCCATCTTGGATTCATCTTACGGATCCGAGTATAGGAACCCCTTAGTATCATTAATCTGAGAAAGAAAACTTTATACCACTAACATCTTCTTGGTTCACTGAAGGCAAAACGACCAGAGTCAACGGCTTCCTGTGTCCAATAAAACGAGAAACAAGTGACAGAAGAAAAACCCAACTGTAGTGACATATTTAATGCATTTTCTTTATTGAAGTGTGTGGTACTGTAGTGTGTGGTACTGTAGTGTGTGGTACTGTATTGTGTGGTACTGTAGTGTGTGGTGCTGTAGTGTGTGGTACTGTAGTGTTGTCTTACTGTAGTGTGTGGTACTGTAGTGTTGTCTTACTGTAGTGTGTGGTACTGTAGTGTGTGGTACTGTAGTGTGTGGTACTGTAGTGTGTGTTGTACTGTAGTGTGTGGTACTGTAGGTTGTACTGTAGTGTGTGGTACTGTAGTGTGTGGTACTGTAGTGTGTGGTACTGTAGTGTTGTCTTACTGTAGTGTGTGGTACTGTAGTGTTGTGATACTGTAGTGTGTGGTTATGTTGTGTGTAGTACTGCAGTGTTGTCTTACTGTAGTGTGTGGTACTGTAGTGTGTGGTACTGTAGTGTGTGGTTCTGTAGTTTTGTCTTATTAAAATGTGTGGCACTGTAGTGTATTGGTATTGAAGTGTGTAGTACTGTAGTATTGTCTTACTGTAGTGTGTGGTACTGTAGTGTTGTGGTACTGTAGTGTGTAGTACTGTAGTGTGCAGTACTATAGTGTGTGGTACTGTAGTGTGTGGTACTGTAGTGCTGTCTTACTGTACTGAGTGGTACTGTAGTGTGTGGTACTACAATGTATGGTACTGTAGTGTTGTCTTACTGTAGTGGGTGGTACTATAGTGTTGTGGTAATGTAGTGATGTGTTACTGTAGTGTTGTCTTACTGTAGTGTTGTCTTACTGTAGTGTGTGGTACTGTAGTGTTGTCTTACTGTACAGTGTGGTACTGAAGTGTGTGGTACCGTAGTGTTGTCTTACTGTAGTGTGTGGTACTATAGTGTTGTGGTACTGTAGTGATGTGTTACTGTAGAGGTGGTCTTACTGTAGTG